TAAGAGCAGTGACTGCTCTTGCAGAGGACCTGGGTTAGATTCTCAGGACCCACATGGTGGCTACGAACCGTCCTTAACTCTAATTCCAGGGGAATCTGAAGCCCTTTTCTGACTTTTGCGGCATTGCATGACATGGGTGCACTCACATACATGCAGGCGATACACTCATACACATAAAATAAAAATTATAAATAAATTTTAAAGGACCGGTATAATCTTAAAACACTTGTACATATGATTTTCTTTTTAGGAATTTCTGTTTCTTCAAATTCCTTTTTAATAGTTTGTTTATTATTTTAAATTTTATTTAATTCCTTCCTTTATCTCTCCATCCATTTATCCATCTAGCCACAATGTACTTACCAAATGCTTTCTATGTAAAATAAATACTGTTAAGATTTTACTCCATCCTTGGTTTTCACTGGGTAATGCTGAACTTTTCAAAGCTGAAGGCAGATGAAATGATATTTGTGTCATCATCTTAGATTGACTTACTTTGACAGAACTTGGATTTTTTCACATTGACACAATATTTTAAATATCAAGTTCTGTAGCTCAATATTATGAAGATTGTAACAGTTGTAGTCCTGTTGTGTCTTGATCAATGGCTCCACACTTGACACAGGGTCTCGTACTCTCCTTTCCTCTGTGGAACAGGCTAGTCTAAGACTCTTAAGGGACCAATAAGGGACAGTGAGTGAGGCTATTGTTGCTCTTGGATGCAAATACCCCATTTTTATCGAAAGAGGATGGGCTTTGAAGCTAAGTAGACTGAAGTCTACTTTAGTCCCGTCTCCACGTCTTCCTCACTTGATTCTGGATGGAGTGCAATCTCTTACCATTACAAAATGTGGAAAATATTACTTGTCTCTTGGATTTCATCCACTGTCAAAAGCTTACTTTTCTTTCACAACTGGAGCATATTTTTTTCCAGTGCACAAGGCTTATTATTTGTGTCTTCGTTTCAGACCCCTGGTGTTGTTTAGTGTGCTGTGTGGTGCATAGGACTACTGAATGACCAATTAACTGAGGATATAGAAAGATGAGCCAGTCTTCCTTTTCTGATTTTCATCCGTAGCCTCCATTTATAACTCTCCTCTCCCATACAGAATCCCTATATGATTTAGACAAATAGGCTAAAGAATAGATTCTATAATTTGATCCAAAGGTTCATGGGGAAGAAAGTACAATGTAGTTTCTACTATGAATCTGGTTATGAAACAGTGTGGGATCTATGCTGTAGGTCCATCATTTATGGCCTCTATGGGTGAAGAAGAGTTACTTTACTTGACAAGTTCAGTGTGTTCATCAAGTTGTCATTGAAAAATCTGCTAAACATTGGATGAAATCATGTAATAAAAGCACATAGATGATTTTGATGAGTTTTATCACCCATGTAGCATCATTTAACTATGTTTCTACTGTTGTTGGATTCCTGAAAGAATGATTTCTGACTAGCCCAGAGAGCTCTCTTTGAATATCACTTTGTTTCATGTACTTCCTTGTGGTAGGAAGTGATGAAAACCCATGGCAAAGACAGCTAGCAACTGAAGAGGCGGAACTTAATGGTGTTTGTTTTTCCTCCAGAATTAGTAGTCCAAAAATTAAATATGTTCTGCCAAGTTTGTAAGCTGTGCAGAATGCTTTGACTATCGGTTTATAATGGATTTGAATTTTTTAACTTTTAAAAAAATTATTTTTATTTTATGTGTATGAGTATATTGCCTGCATGTATGTGAGTGCACCCATGTTATGCAATGCCTCGGAGGTCAGAAGAGGGCTTCAGAGTCCCCCGGAACTGGAGTGAAGGATGGTTCATAGCTGTCATGTGGGTGCTGGGAATCAAACCCAGGTCCTCTGCAAGAGCACTCAGTGCTCTTAACCACTGAGCCATCTCTCCAGCCCCAGGATCTGAATTTTTGACATTAGTATCTCCTTGATATTTATGAAATGTTTCTAACATTCAAAGCATTGAAGCTTTACATTTAATTTATGAACTGTGAGGACTGAAATATTTGCATAATGTAAGTGCATGTGAAATTTATTTACTTTTCATCAGGTGTTATTTGAAACCAAAAGGAGGCTTGAAGTAAAGCATTTTGAAACCACTGACAGGCACAAATGATGCCATAAGGATCCTTTGGCAAGATTGTATTGCATTTGAGGAGACAATATTTTAGGTGGCTTTGAAGCTGCGAAGTAAACAGGCCTTACACCAGCTATGTGATGCATCACTGAGAGAAATCAGCTATGATCAGAAAATAGTGCATGGTTGAAAAACCAGCTCATTTTTGCCAGATATTACTGCTCAGCCCTGAAGATGTAGTGGGTATGCCACAGAAGGCAGGAAATTAAGGCTATTTATAAAATTGACAGCAGATAACTTTCTGAAAGATAAAAAAATTTAAAATATATTTTATTTTTATTTTATGTGTATGAGTATATTGCCTGCATGTATGTAAGTGGGCCTGTGTCATGCAATACTAGTGAAGGTGAGAACAGGACGTCAGATTCCCCTGGAACCAGAGTTACTGACAGTTGTTAATTGCCATGTAGGTGCTAGGATTTGAACCTGGGTCCTCTGCAAGAGCAGCCAGTGCTCTTAACCACTGAGCAATCTCTCTAGCCCCTAAAATACACACACACACACACACACACACACACACACACACTTTTAAATTTTAGGGAGCAGATTCTTGAAAGCAAGAATTGCAACTTCTGTGAAAAGTCTTTCATTGAATTAAAATCTGACTTCATCATGTGTTACCACTACATACTCTCCTTCTGATTTTCATTTAGTGATGGCTAAGAAAGACACAAATGTACTTTTCTGTGGGCAAATGGAGCTTCTATTGCAAAACACATTTGGCACAGTTCTTTTTGTGATATTTACCAGTAACATGCATCTTGGCAGAATCACTTTTGCCCATTGACAGGAGGGCATGGTGGTACTGTGAGGAGGAAGGAAAAGCAAAGATACAAGAGCTGTGTCACTTCACTTAGGAGTCGGTGTGGACAAGTCATCCAGGAAGTAGTATTTGGGAGTGGTGGATATTTTTTAGATTACTTTTTAATAAAATCGTGGTTTATTTTAGTGATCTGGTTTAGTGTTTTCTAAACTGTACTTCACAAGCTATTTTTAGCATATGAAATCAAATTATTGGGTTCCCAGTTAAACAGTAGAATAGAATAGACTCTATACAGCATGCCAATGTCTACGCACATTC